GTGTCCCTTGCTGCCCACCCTGCCTGGGGGGGTCTGAGCCAGACCAGGGTGGCACAGGATGGTGACAAAGGGACGTTTGCCATGTGGTTGTGTCCCCTCTTGTCCTTCCCGATGGTGCCTTTGGATGCTCTTTGCATGCCCAGGGTGGTTGCACGGGTGTATAGGGTGCACAGAGGGGGCAGAGGGGTGCCCAGCTCTCAGGGCTTGCTCCTTTTGGGGTGCACAGGGCTGCATCGGGGGTGCACCAACCACCCCAGCACCCCGCTTGCTCAGAGGGGACTCATCACCTCTCAAGCATCGCTGGCTCTGTGCAACTCTTCTGCTGCTCATCCGCTCCCAAAATACCCTGTAGCAACTTTTCTGTGCTGCCGTGGGCTTTACTGGAGCTGAAGGACTTGCCACCCCCAGTCTGGCATCCCTCACTGGTGCCTTCCCCCCAAAATTCACCTTTCCCTGCCTCCAGCCCTTCACCCATGGGGCTCCTGGTGCTCGCAAGCATCCCCTGCAATCAATAAAAACATGGCCAAGACTGCACACCTGAGCACCTGGGGAGCTGGGAAGTGAAGTTCCTTGGGTCAATTCTGTTTTTCACATGATAATTTTCTGAATTTTCCATTTCTGTTCAAGATGGTGTAAATCCAGCAGCCCAGGAGCCCAGGTTCAGCTCTCGAGGGAGAGGTCATCCAGTGTGGGACAGAGGATATGTCTTCACAGGAGATACCGAAGGCGTGCTTTCAGAAGCCTAACTTTGATTTCTTCCATTCAAAACCAGCCTCAGGGCTCCTTTTGCTGCCTTGAAGCCCAGGCTGGGCTCAGAGTGGCCAAAGCCAAGGGAAGGAGGGAGCAAAAACCCCACATTAGCTCCCAGGGGATGCTGCAACCACGGCAGAGAGCACCGGGAGCCCACTGGGAGCAAAACAGCAAAGCTACAGCCCATACCCATGGGCAAGGAACATCCCCTGTGCACCTGGCAGTCAGTGGTTTTGGCTGGCGAGGAGGGCAGGGACAGGGACATCCTCCTCCTCTGGCTGTGGGGACTTTCCACTTGCTCCGTTGGTCACAGCAGGAAATTCAGGGGATGCCCAGTGGGTCCCATCAGCTGCCAGCTTGTCACCGCCGTGAAGCCTGGGGAATCTGCACCGTTCTTTTTTTGCTTTGCCTATAGCCCAGAGCAAACCGGAGGTGATGCTCACCAGGGTGGAAACCTGGACCCACAGGTCCTGCCCCACGGGGTGCCCAGCTGGGCACTGGGCAGGCATGGACACAGCTCTGCCTGCAAGACCAGTTAAATCCCAACTGGAATGGGGGCTTGGGGTACCCAGGGGTACCCACAATGACAATTTGGGGGCAAAACCCATCCCCTTGGGGTGGCAGGGTGGGATAATGCTTGTCACAGTCTGCAGCACCCCAGATTGTTGGGGGGGCCTTGGCTTGCACCTTGCCCTGAAGCCACCAGTGATGGGCACATCCTGACCCCCGCTGTGGGGCTGGTGCATCGGTGGGGGCTCTGTGGGGCTGAGCTCTGCACAGGCAGGAGCAGGGCAGGGTCAGAGCTGCCCGCATAGGGCAGGGTGGGGACACGCTGCACCAGTGAGCTGGGGACATCCCGGAGCAGGGATGAAGGAGTGGGCGCAGGCATCGAGGCACCCTCAGCACCCAAGCGGGGTGTCCTGGCAGCCCCAGGAGGAGAAGGGGATGCCGGCAGGGAAAGAAGCAACAGGCAAAGGCACAGCTCCCCCAGCCCTGAGCCTTCCTCCATCCCCATCGCTGATTAACCCTCCCCTAGCCGGGGCTGTAGAGGGGTGCCCTGGGGGGTCCCGGCTCTCACTGGAGCCCTGGGACACGTGTGGGGCTCCCCCAAGGTGGTGTAGCCCCTTACCTGACTCCCTGGGTGCTCTCAGGGCAGGGTCACTGGGTGCTGGCACCCAGGCAGCCCCCCGGGACGTGCCGGGGTCCCTCCACCCTGGCTGAGCCCGTGTCCAGGGCACGCTGCGTGGGGACATTGTGCAGTCCAGGGCTGGATCCGATGTCAGTGCCCGTGGTGGCATTACGGGACCGCAGTGCCACCAACCGGATCCAGGCAAAACACCCCCCCTTCTGCAGGACACCCCAGGGGAGGACAAGGGACCCCCAGGGCAGGGTGGGCGATGGGGATGCCGGGCTGCTGTGACACCCCCGGCTGTCCTGGAGGGGAGAGGGGGAAAACCTGTCCCTGCCGAAGCTCAGCTGCCCCAAATATGCAGCTGTAGGGCAGGGTCCACGCTGGAGATGCAGCAAACCCTTTTGAAATCCTTTCCTCCAGATTGAAGATGATGCACGGTCCCCGCAGCAGCGGTACATCATCCCTCCTGCACCCACGGTGGGCTCCCGGTTTTGCCGGCTCTGCCGTGCACCGGGGAGACGAGGGGGTCAAAGCCCAGCAAACCCCAGTGGGTCACTTGGGGTGCCAGGTTTAGCACCCAGAAAGGCCCATTTCCAGATGAAAATAAATGCAAAACCTGGGTTTTTTTTCAAAGCTTTATGGCAACTGTGACATTCCCACTAAGCATCCCCAGCCCTGGAGCAATCTGCTGCTGCCTGTCTGCCTCCCACCCCTGCCGAACAGCATCCTCCTCGCTAATGATGGAGAGAGATGTTTATTCACCTGCGATCTCTTCGATCTCTTCGCAGCTGCAGGCAGGAGTTTATCTGACAGCTGCCACACTCCTCGGGAGGTTTACTGGTCGGCAACGCAGGATGTTGCTGGCCCGAGGGTTGTTTAACGAAACATCTTCCATCTCACCTCAAATCAAGTCTGGGACTCTGTTTCCCCTCTCGATGCCTCTTTGTGAGACCAGAGGGGATCTCTGGAGATCCTGCAGCCTGGAAAAGGGCCAACCCGTGGGTTTTATTTAAGGAAGGACATATGGCTGCATGGAGATATGACAATCCGGGCAGTGTGAGAAGCTCTGCTGGGATCGGGTGGCTGGAGTCCCGGGAATGCGGCATGGCTGGGAGAGGAGGGGAGGTTTGGGGAAAGGGCATTTGAGGCCTTTCGCACTCCTGGAGACATCATTTTCCAAGGAAGATGCTCAGCTCAGGGAAGGTGAAGGATGCTCAGGGGGTGAACGGGACAGGCTGCAGCATTGTGGTGGTGGCAGCTCCAACCCCGAGGGGACACGGGACCCCAGCACCTCTGGGACAGCCTGTGATGCACCCACCTTGTGCTCTTCCTCGCCTTCCTCCTCCAGAGCCTGGCTGCTTCAACAGGCAGAGGAAAAGCAGGAATTTCTCCCCCAGGGAATATTTCCTGGCATTACAGACCCTGGTGGGGTTCCCACCCTCTACCAACTTCTCCAGGTTTGTCGAGCAAACTAAGCCTCTGAGAAGCGATGCTGGATGTCAGAACAAGATTTTATTGGCAAAAACCTCACTAGTGACAAGGAAACGAGTCCCCAGGGAAGATGGGTGAGCCCCTCTGCTTGGGAACTGTCCTGTCCCTCCAGCACAGAGCCCCTGGGGAGCTGCAGAGCCCCCCCGAGACCCCCAAAGCTGGCACGGTGAGGGTAATGGACCGGCTTCCCCAGCACTGAGAGTGGCTGAAGCCACAGGCATGGGAGAACGGAAAAGATTTTGGAAATCGGGGGAGGACCTGAGTCGTGAAACCATCAGGGGTCTCATGCAGAGAGCTGTCAGTCTCTGTCTCTGTATTTGCTTCTCCCACCCCTGGAATGGCTCCTGGGGCTGTGTCTCAGCATCTTCCCAGAAGGGAAATGATTTTGTAAACCAAGGAAGGAGGGGGAAAAAAACCCCTCAGTGTTGGGGCCGCTTCAGTTTTAATCCCAGTGCCATACGAAAAATGCCAGATGTCCTCTGTGAAACGATATTTGTGTTTCATACCCAGTCCAGGGGCAGAAAAGATGGAGAAGCTCTTTTCCCTTCGCCTAAAACACCGACCAAACCACACGGGGAGCTTTGAGCAGGTGAGACACCATCATGGATGCATGAGAGCCACCAGCACCCGACCAGGCAGCATCCCAACCCTCCAAGGATGCCAGACCCAGAACCTACAGAATCCTTTTTAGGGTGTTTCTGGGACCGCGGAGCTGCACCATCACCACTGTCCTCAGGGCGGTATTTCCCCCCAAACGCCATCCGCATCACGCTGTGAAGTCTTGGGTTGCCAGGTTGAAGACATTGCTCTCCATGGATGACTGCCACTTGCCCCAGTTCCTCTTGATCTCAGCCTGGACCTGAATCGACACCATGGACCGGTGGTAGCACTCAGCGGCACCCGGCCAAGGGGTGGGAGCTGCACCTGGGGCTCGACAAGGGATTTGGGGTGGAAGAGGGCGAGGATGAAATTTAGGAAGAAATTTTTCACTGTGCGGGTGGTGAGGCAGTGGCCCAGGGTGCCCAGAGAAGCTGTGGATGCCCCATCCCTGGAGGGGTTCAAGGCCAGGCTGGATGAGGCTTTGGGCAACCTGGGCTAGTGGGAGGTGTCCCTGCCCATGGCAGGGGGTGGCACTGGGTGGGCTTTAAGGTCCCTTCCCACCCAAACCATTCTGGGATTCTGTGACCCCCATGCATGTCTGCATGCCCGTGTGTGCATCCATGCACGGTTGTGTGCATGCAACACCCATCAGGGTGCACCCGCAGGGGTGTCTGTGTGCCCGCTGGTGCAGACACGTGTGGTTGTGTGCATGCTGTGCCCATTGGGGTGCAGCCTTGGGGGGTCTGCATGGCCACGTGCGTGGCTATGGTGCCCAGGGGCTTGGTTTTTGGGGGGACACGCACCTCTCCATTCAGGAAGCAGTACAGCAGAGCCACCAGGAACCCCTGCAAAGGACAGGAAGCATCTGATGAAAGGGGCTGGACCCCTCTGTTAATCTGCTGCCTCCCTCCAGCATCCTCCTACCCCTCCTACCCCATCCCAGGGCAGTAGGGGATGGGATCAGTTATTCACCAAACCCCAACCCTTGTGGTTTGTCCCTGGCATTTGAGGGGTGCCTGAGACACAGTCCTCTCCCAAAAGAGTGCAAAGCCCCAGCAGCACATCCCAGGGTCTCCTGGTGTGATGCTGGGATGGGACAGGATGGGGACATGGGGGTTTTGCTGACCCATCTCCCCCAGTCTATACCTGGTAGGAGCCAAGGACCAGCTCAAAGTACAGCCGGGCATCCACGCCGATGTGCTCGGGGAAGAGCGCGAACACCACGTAGTGTACCCCGAAGAGAGGGATGAGGAGCAGCGTGGACTTTGTCAGCCTCCTGCGGAGAGCGGCGGCATGAGCGGGGGCCTGGGTGCAGGCAATGCTCCTGCTGCCCTGCAAGGAAAGCCCTTCCCAAGAGCTTGGTCTTAACCCAAAACAGGTTTTCCATGAAAGGCAGGTGTTGGAGGCTCCAAGGATGGTCTTCCTCTGTGCTCTGCCAGGGAAGGGTCCCTGCTGCCCTGGGTCCCCCCAAAAACCAGGGTGAGAGGAGCACCCCTCACCCAAGCCAGCCCTTACATGTACTGCTGCTTGTAGTTTTTGCTGATGTCCGGGGACCGGATCTTCTGTGCTAACATCCTGGTGACATTGAGGAAGATGAGGAAGTTCACCTGCCATGGGAAGCTGTGTCTCAGGCTCTGCACAGACCCCTGGCTGGGTCCCCCTGTCCATAGGGGACCCGCAGCTCTGGGGCTGGGATGCCCAGGGGACATACTCACAAATATGGCCAGGAGGATGGGAGCCTTGATCACCCACCAGTAGAGACTGGTGTAGTCATCCCAGCACCTATGGGAGAGGAGAAAGGGCTCTGCCACCCACTGGCACCCGTTTAGCTCAGGTGTCATCCTTCCCCCCTCCCCAGCCCCCTGCCCCATTGGTACAGCACCTCTTGCAATGGGACCCCACTGTAGCAGGGGACCCCCCAAAAATAGAAACAGCATTAAAATAAATCACTGCCCCAGTTCTCCTCTCCTGAGCCTCCCATGCAGGAGGTTCAGCCCCCAGGCCTTGTGTGGGGGGCACGTGAGGAAGAAGAAGGGTGGTTGCTCTTACCCGTGGTTGTCGTACCACAGCCTGGCGACCACCCACATGCAGACCGTAAGCATGGGGACACCTGCAAGGACAGGACCCACGCAGGGATGTGGAGTCATCCCAGGGCTCTGGGGAGCCCCTGTGCCTTCCCTCCATCCCTTGTCCCCAAAACCACATGTTTAGGTCAGGTCTGGGACCCTGGAGGTGGCAGGAAGGTGACAGCCTTTCTCCAGGTTTTAAAAGGAGATGGTGCCCACTGGTGGTGACACGTCCACCTGTGTGTCACCTCCTGGCTACCCTCCAGCCCTTCTTGGTGCTCTTACATTTAACCTGGGCACTCGGGATGGGCGTTTCCAGATGCATGTGGGTGCCCCACCAAGCACGAGGCCGTGCAGAGAGGTGCTGGAGTAGGGGAGAGCAGCCATGGGGACCACGGTGCCCGTGAACTTCTGGCCAGGTTGGTCTCAGAGCAGGCAATCCCCGAAAGTGGTGCCTACCCCTCGTCTGTGTCAATGGGTCCTTGCTGGAGGGGTTGGTGTGCCAGGGGGGCCCTGCACTCCCCCCAGCCGATGAGGATGTACCACCAGCTGTACCTCTTGTCGGAGGTGAAGGTGAGCAGCAGCAGGGTCTGCAGGTACATGCCCTCCACCAGCAGCCAGTAGAAGTTGGCCAGGACCGAGTACTGGAAGAAGGCGATGGCTGCTTTGCAGTTCACCTGCGAAGATGAGGAGGAGGAGAAAGGCTCAGGAGTGCCGGCTGGGGTCAGACCCGGTCCTGGGGACACAGGAGATGGTCAGCCCCCAAATCCATCTCATCAAGGAGACCCGTGATGGTCTTTCAGTGCAGCTCCAGGGATGTTGCATGTCACCGGCGCGACGTGGGCAGGTGACCGCAGGCTGGTGTGGTCGGACCTTTAGAAACCTGTGTCTGGGGCAGCCACAGCATTGCATGCAGGGGGTTCTGTTTCTACTGACAACCCCAAATCTGCACATCCTGAGGTTGTCCTGGGTTCAGCTGGGATAGGGTTAATTTTCCCAGAAGCTGGGAGATGGGCACAGCCAAGGGGATATTCCATACTGTGCTGAGGGACTGGGATATGAGGGGAAGCTAGTTAGGAGAGGGAGACCAGGGAGAGCTTTGAGGGCAGACAGAGCCCAGAGATGCTCTCATCACCTTCCTGAAGCCCACCCAAGCCAGCCTTTCCTCCCCAGGTTCCCAGCCTTTCTCTTGCTCCTCTTTCCAGTGCTAAACCCACTGCCCGTGCAGCCAAACCGCTCCGGATCAGCACATGATGCCCGGTCCCGCACCATGCCGGGGCTCAGCATCTCACCGTCGACATCGTGCAGTGATCGACAGACTCATCCGAGAAGAGGACGGCGTCCTTGATGAACACGGCAGCCCCACGCAGGATGAAGGAGGTGAAGAAGTGGATGTGGATGGAGTTCCTGGTGCAATGCAGCTTCCTACGGGAGGAGGAGATGTGCCGTGCCCAGGGAGGAGCAGAGAGGGCAGGTGGGCAGAGCAGCTTCTCCTTCGGGAGCCACCTCCCTGGCTGGACCCCCATGTGCGGGTGGAGGTTGAGCACAAAGCCCTGGAGAAGGTTTTCCTGCTCTGAAATCATGGAGGATGGGGTTGTGCCATGCTCGAGGCTGCTGCCTGGGGACGAGGTGTGCTGGGGAACATCCTCCAGCCAGCTCTGGAGAGCAGAACTCTGCAGCACAGCCAGGGCTGCAAAAACAAAGCTTGACAGGGCAACCTGAGGGTTGGAAGTCTGTGTGGAAAGGACAATGCTGCAGTTTGTCTCATGCCTCCCTGGTTATCCACGGTGGCAGGGATGGAGCCTGGCTGCTCCAGGAGGGGACAGACCAAGGGCAGCCACCTCCTGCCGATGATTTACCGCAGGGCAGCCAGCGCCGAGCCCTACCTGAAGCAGGAGAAGATGCTGATGGCCAGGAACAGGGCTGCCAGGGACGTGGAGTAGCCGCAGGTGTAAAGCACCTTCATGGTGACAAAATAGCCTCTCTGGAAGGGAAAACACCAGTAGAGAGATGCAGCCTGGGCTGGGAGGTGCTGGTCTGTGATGGGCAGGGAGGTGCCAGGGGGATGCCCCAGCCCCTAGGCTTGGACCCTCGGGGCAGCCCAGCAACAAGGATGAGGCCAAGGAGATATCCTCAAGAGCCCCTCCATGTTTTTCATCAGGGGCACCCTGCTGCACAGCCCCCCGGGGACTCGCTTGCCTTGGCTTCAGTGTCGTTACTGGTGCCGATGGCCTCCAGCTCGCAGGCGTTGTAGTAGGGGGGGCTGGGGAAGCTCCATCCCGCCTCGGTGCAATTCCTCCAGATCAGTGCTGCAGCGAGAAGAAGGGACCTCACAAGAGCCACAGGCATCGCCACTGCATCAGCACACCCAAAATGTCCAGCCTGGGGATGGTACCCTGTTCCCCGGGAGGGAGTCTAAATCCCAGCACCAGCATCCCAGCTGTGACAGTGGCACGGTACCCAGCTGGCCCGGCTGCCCCATCCCTCCCGTCCGATCGCATCTCTGCCCTCCAGTGCTGTGCCTTAGGGCAGGATATGAAAGCAAGCATGAATCCCCATGGTGGGAGGGAATTAAGGCTAAAAAAGGGTGTTTTTTTGTCCTTCATCAAGCCTCTCCTGAGCTGTTTCTGCCCTAAAGCAAGGATTTACCAACCCTCCATCGCCTTTTCCATTACACCCAGCCCAGGAAGCGCTCTGATGCCGTGGGGACAGTCAGATGCCGTGGGGGGAAGTTGGATGCTTGCCTTCACATGCCACTGTCTCTGAGACAGATGGAGGCAGCGGCTCCCCCAGCAGCGGTGCCTGCCCCGGGAGAGCACCTGGCCTTGAAATAATCATGATCTTACGCTGCATTTTTCATCTGTGTGGCTTAGAGTGGCACTGGGCAGGTCAGGAGCATTAGGCTGGTGTGTGGATGGGGCAAGGAGGGTGCTGACCAGCTAGGGGACTGTGCCGGTGTCACCCAGTTGGAGGATGAGGTCCCCAAGTGCTCTACCCATGGGGGAAAGCATCCTCCTGCTTGGTGCTGGGTGATGAAAGAGCTTGGGGACTTTCCTGGTGTGGCACCACCCTAAGTCCCTGCTTGGATTGCAATACATGCCGAGCTTTTGGATGGGGCAGGAGCTGTGGGACCAGAGGGGAAGGTCCCAGGCAGGGAGGGGTGGGTGCAGCCCAGCCCTTGGTCCCCAGGGATGAGTGATCCCGGCTGGATTCAGAGCACTGCACCTTTGGATTTCTTGAAGACATGGAGGATGTCGGGGCAGGCGACAGCTTGGGACTGGCCGACAGGGACAGCCGACCAGCAGCTCACTCCATCCCACTCGGTCAGGCAGCCTGGGGAGGGACAGGAGGGTTAGTGCTGCTGGGAAGGGACGTGCTGGGGACACACACGCAGCCCCCCGGCCCCCAGGCACGGCTGTAACGGGAGAGCGGAGGGCGGGCAGCCGTCACCCGATCGGGGGCCATGCCGTACCCCCTCAGGAATTAGGAGCATCCCGGCTCCAGTTCTGGGAACGACCTCCCCCAGCGCTGAGCTCTCCTTTTGCCCTGCGGTGAGATGGGACCTGGTATTTCCTGGGGCTGCATCAGACCCAGAGCTCCTGCGGGGACACCCTGGGAAACGAGGGTGTGGGAAGGGTGGGGACTTTCCTGGTGGCATCTGAAATACTGCAGGTTTCTGCTGGATTTCTGCACCCAGCAGCCACGGTGGCTCAGCTCGGGATGTCTCTCCAGCCCGGAGGAGGGGGACAGGAGAAAGCACTGCAGGACTTGCCGGAGAGCAATTAGCTTGAACATGTTTTACTTCTCTCTCTAGCACTAAGTTAATCTTTAAATGACTCTAATTGCCTTGGAAACGAGCACGGCCAAGTGGATGCAGGACCTTGAAGAATTAGTGCTGCAGCACAACAGGATGAGACACAGACATCACCCTTCCAGGACAGCTCTCCTCCTCGCACATGTACATTATTAACCTTGTACATATACATTATTAACCTGCTGCCACATCTATTCCCAGCCTGGGAATGTGGACTCAGACACGTCTAATTAGTTTTCTCTGATTTCAGCAAAGCGGTCTGGAGGTACCTGGCCAGGCTTGGAGGGATTTACAGGGCTGGCATTACAATGCCAACGGATGTCTTAATTTTTGCTCTGGAGGACAGGTAAACCCAGCACAGCTACTGGGACTGTTGCTGAGAGCAGTTGCTTCATTTCTTGGGGTCTGAGCAAAATATCTGGGTGTGTCTGTACAGCAGAGCCTTCCTGCTGTATAATATATCTCTTGGTGTATGGACAAGCTCCTCTTCTTGAGCTCTGATGCCCAGGGCTCTGCATCGCCCCAGAGCATCAGCACAGGGAGGATGGGAACGGGGCAGGAGGCTCTGCTTGGGGCATGGACCACACTGTCACTGCCAGATGCCACGAATATGAGGGACTCAGCCCCTGCAGTTGTTTGCATCCCTCAGCCCATCACACCCCATCTCTGCCCCCCTCTCCCCCTGCAGCAGCATTTTTTGGGGCTCTCCAAGGATGCTGCTTAGCCTTCACCTGGGCGCTGCTCTTCATTTTCCTGAAGATATCCGCTTTTCTGCATTCACAGAGTGCCCTGCAACCCCAGACCATGGATCTTCCTCCAAAAAGACCCTCAGCAAACCCTCCCCATCCTCCCTGGGGAATGAGCCCCACCACGGCAGCAGCTCGCCCTCACCTTGCTGCCCGGGGGACGCCGGCATTTGGCTTTCACTCCTGATCCTCTCCAGACATTCTGCTTCTTTCTCTTGGAAATAGAGGACGGCGGAGCAGTCGGGATGTGTCGCTCGCACCTTGGGAGAGGGGAAAGGGCAGGCAGTGGGATGCCAAAGACCAGAGCAGGCAGGGACCCGGTCAATATTCACTGTTTCTGCTGCAGCCAGCTGCAGGAGAGCCTACCTACCTAACCATGCTTTTGGGCCCTGACATTTCCTTAGCTTTCTACTGTTTGCCTTGTAAACACCATAAAGAACCATTGCAATTATTCCTAATTCCCTCCGAAAGCAGCGTCTGATGCTTTAGGGCACCGCTCCGCCAAGGCGCCAGCTCCACGCAGAGGAGCGGAGCTGAAAGATGGAGGGGCCGAGCCCAGCGGCAGGGCAGAGGAGAGCACGTTCAAAGCCTGAGCAAGAAAACCATGTAATTAGAGATTTAAAAAAAAAACAAAAAACACCTATTCGGGCATGGCTAATCCTTCCCTTGCTGGCTGGGTTTTGCTCACGTGGGTTTTGCTCGTGTCAGGCTGGTGTGTTTTATTCAGAGGCACCGGCCGTGGGAGTGGACCCTTCTGCTCCCCGGTTTTCTGGGCAGATGCTGCAAAATGGGGACACTGACCTCCTCAAAGCTTTTGGGTTTGCTGGCAGGAGTGCTGAGGCATCGAGGAGCATGCCACGACCCCACAGCTCCCCAAAATGCAAGGGGGAGGGTGGGATAGGGCTGCCTAGGAGCCCCCACTTCTGGGGTTTCCCCAAAGGTGGCTTGTAAGTGGAGAGCTGGGAGACTGAGGCTGAACTGAGAGCAGGCCATGGACTTTCTGTGCCCATTCCCAAGCATCCATGCCCATTCCCATGTGTCCATGTCCATTCATCCATGCCCATTCCCACACATCCATGCCCATTCCCAAGCATCTTCCCATTCCCAGACATCCGTGCCCATTCCCACACATCTGTGCCCATTCCCAAGCATCCACAACCATTCCCAAGCATCCATGATTGTCCCACACATCCATGCCCATTTCCAAGCATCCATGCCCACGAGGGGATGCAGTGGGGGCTGCAGGACACCGGACATGTCTGGGACAGGGTTTTTGGGCCAAGACATGGGGTTGGGTTGCTGATGGGTTTAGGTGGGTGGACAGATAGAAAAACTGGAGAAACAGAGGGATGAGGGCAGGCAAGTGGACCCAAGGACTGGAGGAAAGTCTGGGATGTTAAAGCATCACTTGGCTGAGCCCTGTCCTTCTCTGCCCTGTCCTGGCCAGCATGCAGCCCCTCTTCTGGGGTCCCTTCACCTCCCCCAGGAGATTTTGTTTCCTCCTGGTTTGCTGGGTGATGGCTGCTGGACAGAACCAAGAAAGCACACTACTGCATCACCGTGAGGAAGGCCCTGTAAGCTACAAAGCTGCTGGTTTTTATTGTCGATGGCAAAGCAGCCTGGCTGCGTGAGCACCGGCGCAGGGAACTCCTTGCCGTGCCTCAGTTTCCCCATCTGGGAAGGGGCCATCGCTCTCCTTATAAAGCCTTCAAAGCCTCTCAGCGCTCCCCTGGTCCTGCTTGCTTTCACTGCTCTTTCCCCTTTCACTCTCTGTTTTTTAATCCTTCCTTTCCTTTCCTTTTCCTTCCTTTTTCCTTTTTCCTTTTTCCTTTTTCCTTTTTCCTTTCTTTTTTCCCCTTTTCTTTTTCCCCTTTCTCTTTCTTTTTCCTTCCCTTTCTTTTTCCTTTCCTTTCTTTTTCCTTTCCCTTTTTTCCCTTTCCCTTTTTCCCTTTTCCTTTTTTTTTCCTTTCCCTTTTTCCCTTTTCCTTTCTTTTTTTCCCCCCGTTCTTTTTCCCCTTCTTCCCCCCTCCCTTTCTTTTCCTTTTCTTTTCCTTTTCTTTTCCTTCTTTTCTTTTCAAAGCCTCCCTGTTAGCTACAGAACTTGGGGACCAAAGTGACACCAGGAGAAGTCCCGAAGGCTTTGCAGATGAACATCAAGCCAAAACTCTGTCCCGTTGGAGCCCTCCACCCCCGGCATTTGCCCAAAGCAATTGGACAAGTCCAGGATGGGTTTGCCAGCACGGCTCCCAGACTCACCGCACATCGCTCCGGCACCACAACTGCTTTGTGTCCCCCCATTTCAGTGGGGGCTCGGTGCCAGCTGTTCCCAGTGGTCCCCACGCCTGGTCCTTGCCTCCTGCACCCCCCAGCCATCCCAAAATTCCCACCTGCGGATGCTCCCCTAGCCCCTTGGGATTTCAGGTTCCATGGAGGGTGATATGAGCAAAGCCCCTTCCTCCAGGACCACCAGGACCCACGTGAGGATGGAGGGGACCGTCCCCAGGACAGGGCAGAGGGGAGTCACCCTCCCTGGGGATGCCCAGGGGGAGCTGGACCCCCTGGGAGCTTTGCTGGCTGTCCTGGCCAGACCCTGAGCAGTGTCCCAGCCCTGGGGGGTCCCGGCATCACCCACCTCCCTCCCTGCC